AAAAATTCCGGATCCTTCTATCCAAAACCGAACCCCTCCCTCCCATTCTGGATCCTTCTATCCAAAATATCTCATCTAACACCACTAACCATCCTACACCATACAATCCACCTAACAAAAAAATATCCCATCTAACACCACTAATCATCCTACACCGTACAATCAACCTAACAAAAAAAATATTTCATCTAACATCACTAATCATCCTACGTCATACAATCCACCTAACAAAAAAAATAACTCATCTAACACCACTAGCCATCCTACACCATACAATCCACCTAACAAAAAAATATCTCATCTAACACCACTAATCATCCTACACCATACAATCCACCTAACAAAAAAATATCTAATCTAACATCACTAATCATCCTACGTCATACAATCCACCTAACAAAAAAAATATCTCATCTAACACCACTAACCATCCTACACCCTACAATCTACCTAACAAAAAAATATCTCATCTAACACCACTAACCATCCTACACCATACAATCCACCTAACAAAAAAATATCTCATCTAACACAACTAATCATCCTACACCATACAATCTACATAACAAAAAAATATCTCATCTATTTATTTGTTGCTTAACTCTGATAATCTCACCACCGAGCTTTACTCTCACATATCTACTCACTTCTCTCACAATCTCTTACCAAAAAATGGTCTCTGATGGTAGTTTTGTCTTGCTAGCACATTAGAACGGTGAGATAATGATCAGGAACAATAAGGTGGAGTACTCATTGCATTCAAACAAAGCCTTTGTTTTTTATCTTGATGTGTCATTCGAGGAGGTCTTTAATGAACTCCTCGAGGCTATTGGTGAAGATAATCTTAATTCCATCAAAAACATTTGGGAAAAATATCCCGAATATAAGGATGGAGTATATGTCGCTTCACGCCCTTTCCCCATTTCCGAGGAGCGAACATGGAGGTGTTTCGTTCAAAAGGCAACGAAGCAATATGATAAACTTGAGGTTTACCTGGATGCAAACCAAGTTGAAGTTTTGGCTCACGAGGATGAAGAAATGGAGAAAGAATAAAACCACCAAGCTCATTACTACCACCACCACCAAGTTCATCACCTCCACCAAGTTGATGAGGCGGGACCGTCTAACACGGCGCAAGACATGGTTGATGAAGACGACTCTAATGATCTTACGTACGTTGCTAATTCTGATCAAGAGAGTTTTCTGAAGTATCTGAAACAGTGCTCATGGCTCATCGAGGCTACAGAGGATGCTTCTGTTTGGACTGTCAAACAGTATAGAAGTCAACATTTATGTAGACCTGACTTTTCTAAAGAGAAGGACGATAAGCTTATTACAATTAAGCTCATATCAGGAATTATATTCTCAAAAATTGTTGCTGATGTTAATTACAAGGTGAGGTACTACATTAAAGATATGTACGATTTATTGCAAGTTTTTGTGTCGTATAAGAAATGTTGGTTGGCTAAGTCGAATGCCATTCAACGCCTGTATGGATCCTCGGAGAATTCGTATAACAAGATATTACCTCTATTAGCGGCGTTGATTCAAAGCAATCCTGGGTCAGTGGCCGAAATACAAATGAGGTCAACAACAACGCCAAAAACTTTTTAAAAAATGTGCAGTTGCGGGAAATGGGCCACATTACACATGCCACGTGTGCATGTCTACGCCGTATGTTGTTATTGCAACATTACGGTTGATGATCTCATTCTACGAGTGTTCTCACTTCAGAATTACCTCGATGCGTATTGTGGAAGTGTTATGCCACTACAAAATGAAATTGAATGGCCTACTCTGGATTACAAATTAGTCCGACCAATTACAGGGCAAAGGTCGCATGCCGGTCGTCCAGCGAGCACCCGTTTCACAAATAATATGGATATGTGATCACGAAAGCATCGTCGGGGTACTTAGTTAACTTATAAATTTCAATGTTGAATTTTTAAATATGTACGACAACTTTTATTTGCATTCTTTTTATTTCAGTAATAGTGCATCAAATAAATAAAAGTTTTATGAATATTCAAATTTAATGCGTATATCTAAGGAATGGAAATATTAAATTTAATATTTATAGATAAATATAGATGCTTATGTACTTTATGATATCTCATATAACACCACTAAACATCGTACACCATTCAATCCACCTAACCAAAACATATCTTATCTCATACCACAAAACATCCTACACCATTCAATCCGCCTAACAAAAAAAATATCATTTAACACCACTAATATATCTTATCTACCATTAAAATATCTCATCTAACACCATACTCGTTTCACAAATAATATGGATATGCGATCACAAAGGCATCGTCGTGGTACTTAGTTAAATTATAAATTTCTATGTGGTTTTTTAAATATGTACGAAAACTTTTATTTGTATACTTTTAATTTTAGTAGTAGTGCATAAAATGAATAAAGATATTATTACTGTTCAAAATTAATATGTATATTTAAGGAGTGGAAGTATTAAATATAAAATTTTTAAATAACTCGAGTGTTAACGGTACAGCCTCTACCGTTAACTTAAAAAAAGATAATGTATGTGTTAAATCACAAATGTCAGGACATCGTGAGCGGCAGCTTCACCATTTGGGAATGGTTTTTCCAGAATTGCACCGATTGGGAATTTACCTTCTTTTTTTACTCGTTAATGTGGGTACTTATTAAGAAAATCATGATAATATGTTTCCATACATTCAATGTTATTAGACCTGAGCCGGACCGTCCGGTCCAACGAGTCAGAGCGTGACTCCTATAGGCTTTCAGTCAAATTTGTTATATATTTTAGTGTAATTGAAATGACCATTTGAGCAATGATATTTTAATAATCATCAAAGAAATTTGGTGGTGCGAATTACACGTTTCGTTGAGTTTGTTATACTCCCTCCGTCCCAAAAAGTCTTTCCTGTTTCATTTTTTGCGCATCCCATAAAATACTTTTACCGACATCTAAAATGCCTAAAATTTACAACATTTCTTTTTTATTGTGGGTAGAAGTTATTTTGAAAGTTTTTTGGCATTCAAGACGGGATAGAAGTGTTTTATGGGATGTGGAGTGAGTAATAAAAATCCGTTTTAACGAGGTTCTAAGGGGACAACGCCTCTTTGGTGAGTGTTCAGGGGCGGCGCCCCCAAGCAAGGTTCCAGGGGTGGCAGCCCCTGTTAGGTCCAAGGAGCAGAGCCCCTAAATTTTTTTATTTTGGATAAAGTTGTGTTAAAAATTCACATAAATTTTTTAATTTTCAGAATTTGAGTATAAAGATTTTTTCTGAAAAATTGTCTCTCCTAGTTTTTCGAAAAATTGCAACTTTCGTCTCCGTTTCTATAAGAATCCCTCATCAATGGTCGAAAAAGAAAAGTTAATAAGTTCATCACAATTCGTACTTGTTTTTTATTTATAACTTTAGTTTTATCCGTTTTTTTGTATTGAACACTCAAAACTATTAATCTGAAAATACTTTCACGACTATGGGATTAATCCGTATTATCTATGATTTCTCCAACACGGTCTAATTGAAATACATGTTTTCTTAAAAATTGGGAAAACACGACGGAATCACATACCCAAACGACCCGGGTCAGTCCGGGCCCTTGAACCCATTTAAAATCTTAGAAAGAAGGACGCGTGTGGGTTTCGAATTATTAAGAAAATTAATGCTAATATATTTCCATACAAATGATACAATAATTGAAACCATGGAGTTTTTTTTATGGACGCGAGAACATAAGTTTGATTTATCCAAGTACAAAATGATTGGGCCGGGCCGAAACTAAATAGTCATAAAAGAAACAGAGAATATGATGCAGCTATCTGGGCTTAGCTGATTCAGCGGCCCAGCTGTATCCTCTCTATTGTAGGGGCTAGACCCATTCGCAACCGGCATTATAAGAAACAAGATTGATCCGGCCTTTTTTTATAATGGGTACGGACTAGTCGGATAGTTTATGAAAAAGTAATTAAGTTTATGGTAAGTTTGGGAACATGGATTTGGATTTCAAATCCAGATTTAGCTAAAATTTCATGTTTGGGAAATTTAAAAATTTTGAATTTGGATTTAAGTCAAATTCTTCTCATTCATAACAAAGCTTAATTTGAAATTCATGCACCTCCCATGTCATTTGAAATTCAAGATTTCAAATTTTGGAATTGAAATGTATGAATTGAAATGAATTGCTAGTTGCCAAACACTACCTTAATTTTTTCGAATCAAACTAAATGAAATTTAAGATTGAATTAAATAAAATAAACGTTATAATTTATTTGAATATAAAAATGATTTTATTATATTTATTTTGTTCCAAACCAATATTTAGGTGAAATCCAGCATCTTTCTTTATGTAAACAGTACGCGAAGAGAGTCTTCCCAACATGTTTTATTTGAACTTTAATTTGATATTCGTTGTTAATTTTGGAGGCTGAAGAACTAATTATTGGAAGTCATGTTTATCGATATACAGTAAGTGTATGACACTATGACCTATATGATTGGAGGATGAAGAATTTTTTATTGGAAGTCATTAATTTGGTATGTATTTTTAGGCACAAAAAAAGTACGCCAGAGAATGTAAAAAACTACTCTGTATACAAATATGTGTGTAGAAACATGAACATGAAGTATTTAAATGTCAAAATTTAATCAATAAAAATCATGAATCTTTTTATTAGTATTATTGTATTATTAGTATTTTTAAGAATAACTTTTTTTTGGTACATTTGGAATATTTATTTGTCTCGCATTGGATTTAAAGGTCATTAACGCCATTTAACGGCACAAAAAAAAGCCATTAACGTAGCTTCGGCCCTAGCCCCCAGTGTTTTTGAAGCTGGTCCGATTCAATGTTAAAACCCAATTTCGCAAAATCCGGTCCGAAACCATTTTGGTAAAAACCGTCCCAGACCAACCGGGTTCAGGAAATTTGGGTGACTCGGGACGATGCCCAATCTCTAAATTCTCCATCGTCAACAAGCATAATAATAATCGCAGCGGAGTCTGGAAACGCAAAGCCGGCGGCGAAGTCGTCGTCAACGCCGCAAGTCACAACACTGGATTAGGGTTCAATTTCAGTCCGAGTAGAGGGCTTAAAACCCTAAAAATGGACGGTGCATTCGCCAGCGCCTCCGCCATAAGCGACCAGCGCCAGAAAATTGAACAGTACAAGCACATTCTCTCCACCGTGCTCGCCTCAAACGACATCGTCCAGGCCAAGCGATTCATCGATCACAGTTACAATCGCCATCTCCTCTTTTCTGCCTTTTTTTGAAATCTTCCTAACACTTTGAAGCTTGAAATTTATTTTCTTTCCTGTAAATTTGTCTGGGCCTGCAGTTATATCTGACGATGTGCCGTTGGTGGTATCACGTCAACTTGTACAGACGTTTGCTCAAGAACTGGGGAAGCTTGAGCCGGAGTTCCAGAAAGAAATTGCACATTATACGCTGAACCAGATTCAGCCTAGGGTTGTCTCGTTTGAAGAGCAGGTACGCAATTTGATCCTGTTGGTATCTGCTTTAGTTATTCTTATGTGTGTAAGTGTTACCATTGGTTGTTATATTTGCTTAGAGTGTAGTGTGGCATAACTTAGCCATTCGCACAATGAAGAAGTGTCTTTTTTCAAGTCAAATGCTACCCATTATGTGACTGTTGCGCGGATGGTTGGGGCTTGAGAGATTATACTTTTTTTAAAAAATGTTGAATTTTGTAGTGCGAACTAGTGTTATTGTATCACCTCTTCTTCTTTTGTATCTAGATGTGGGTGCTATAATTGCAAGATTATTTGATTGCATTTGATGGAGTGAGTTATTTTTAAGAATTTTATATAATGCAAGCTGTGGTGTAAGTTGTAAGGTTGATTGTTATCTAATGTTGAACTTTCACAAGTAATTTGTTTTTCCTTGAACAGTTAAGAGAAACACATATGGCGTGTTATTCATCAAACAGTTAGCACATTTTCTTGTTAGACTTGTAACATAGTCTGCCTCTATTGTTGAATGTGAAACTATATTTTTTTTATTCAGGTGTTGATTATAAGAGAGAAACTTGCAGAATTGTATGAGTCTGAACAACAGTGGTCTAAAGCTGCCCAGATGCTCAGTGGAATTGATCTTGACTCTGCAATGAGGTGTGGACTGGGTTTTCATTTTTACTTGGTTTGAACTTTATTGTTATTTTTTTGGGTCACCTAATATTTATGTAAATGTTTGCTTCTAGAGTTGTTGATGAGACTTTCAGGCTTTCAAAATGTGTCCAAATAGCACGGTTGTATCTTGAGGTATTATTTTACTGCCTAATTCAGTTCCACATACTTTAAATATGTTTCTAATTGCCTTGTTGAGGACATTATCCTGTCTGATGTACGGGTTTATACTGGCTTGCTAAGTAACATCATTTGCTTAAAGTTCTGTTGCATTCATCTTGTTGCATCACCTGTTTTCTTGGCTTACTGGATCATATGTCACATCCTCATTGATTGAAGTTATTAAGTATGGATTATTTTTGTATCAGTTTATGAAACCATGGCAAAGCAAACATGCAGATGAAGTCATGCAATGTTTTTTAATGATCTATGATCATACCTTTTGTTGATCCCAAAATTACTAATGCTCGCATATCATTGTTTGGAAGGATGATGATGCCGTCAATGCTGAAGCTTTTATGAACAAAGCATCTTTTTTGGTTAGCAACAGTAAAAATGAAGTGTTGAATTTGCAGTATAAGGTCATTGTTCTTGCTAAGCTATTTCTTACTTCATTTTTTATTTTTTTATTATCCATCACTATATTGAAACATGAAGATTTGCTTATATTACAGGTCTGCTATGCTAGGATATTAGATTTGAAGAGGAAATTCTTGGAAGCTGCCTTGCGTTATTATGACATTTCACAGATTGAGAAGCGACAAATTGGAGATGAGTATGTTTCTTACAAGACGGATAAACAACAACAAATCATAAATGTATTTTTCTGCATTTTCTTATCTGTCTTTTCTTGGGACAGGGAAATCGATGAAGCAGCTCTTGAGCAGGCTCTAACTGCTGCTGTCACGTGCACAATTTTGGCTGCTGCTGGACCTCAACGTTCTCGCGTACTTGCTACTTTATACAAAGTAAAGATGAACCCATTAGTTTTTTTTAGGTTTCTGTGTTCTGAAGATTCTGTTTGAAAATTCTTCATATTATAGATTGAATTAAGGTTGTGTACACGTGCTGGTAAGAAATAAGATGTCAAGAAAAGAATAGTATTTAGAATACATGATCTGAAGATTGCAACAAAGCTACGATACCATCTATATTAAATCAAAGGAAGCAAAAAAATAATACTCCAACACTCTTCTTCAAACTGGAACGTATACATCAATTCCTTGAGTTAAGGCTGCCTATATCTTCATTAGATTCTTCATGTTGGACGGTTGATGGTCCGTATGGACTATGGACTATGGTGTGGTCCCAATTTGTGCTGCTAAGTGCTAACTGCATCTTTTTATTCTTCTTGTATGGTCAGAATTTAATCATTCTATTACTCGTAACCATGCATGTTTTAGATTGGTGAACATGATATATTTTGGGATGAACTAAAATTTTTCTAATATTTATTTTTCCTTGTCATCATCAGGATGAGCGCTGCTCAAAATTGAAGATTTTTCCAATCTTGCAAAAGGTATGCTGCTACTTGGTTTGAATGTATAAACCCAGCATTAAGTGTGTGCTTGACTGCTTGGCATATCAGAGTTTCTTGGTTTTCATCACATATGATCTCTTTTCAGGTCTATCTAGAGAGGATTCTTAGAAAACCTGAAATTGATGCTTTTGCTGAAGAATTAAAACCACATCAGGTTTTGTTTCTCAGTTTCTCTGTTTCAAATACTCCAGATCGTTTCTACTCCATACTATTCAAGTACCTAAATCTAATTACGGAGTATTTGATATGAATGTGAAATGCAGCAAGCACTACTTCCAGATAACTTTACTGTTCTGGATCGTGCTATGATTGAACATAACCTTTTGAGTGCTAGCAAACTCTATACAAACATTAGGTAAGAGACAAAGGGATGATAAAACTTTCTTTCTTACTATTGTTTTCAGATTACCCTTTGTTTTGTTCTTTCTCAACTATTGCATTGTTACTGCTGGTCTGATAATGCAAAATTTATCTTTACTGTCTTGTGATGCAGCTTTGATGAGTTGGGCACACTGTTGGGAATTCCTCCCCAAAAGGTAACAAACCATCTTCAAATTTTAAACACTTATGTTCATAAGTAAAGAACATCATTGTTTGGCTATGCAATAAGCCCTATTGTGTATTGACTATTGACTGGTTTTCCACTCTCAATAATTTTACAGTACATGCCATGGTAGTTTGTTATCTAAGCTCATAAGCCGTACTTGACAAATTCATCTGTTTCATCTGTTGCAGGCTGAGAAAATAGCATCAAGAATGATCTGCGAAGATAGAATGAGGGGATCTATTGATCAGGTAAACGTTATCATCTAAATTTAGGAATTTTCCTGAAATACAGTACTTTTAAGTACATTCATCTTGGGATGCTTCTGAACTATTGTTATGGAACATACTTTTAACAATCAATCCCTACTTTAGAACACTTGCTTTAACATCCTTATGTTGATATGTTTTTGTCCTTGTGGTCTGGTGAGTGTTGATCATTGTATGTGTGCTAGGTTGAAGCTGTTATACATTTTGAAGATGACACGGAAGAATTGCAACAATGGGATCAACAGGTGGGTCTTCTTCGCTACTCTCTTATGGTTAAGGTCTTAGGGATCCATTTGGAATCCGAAAATGACGGGGAAAGACAATAGGACTAAAAAGATAAGGGAAATTTGGAAGGGAAGAAAATTTGAAGTAAAAAAATGGTTCCAACTCAAAAAATCCATTTCAGATATTGTTCAAACTCAATAGGGATTTCTTTTATCTAAAGACTTAGAAATCTAAATATAAAACATTTCCTTGAGCATTTTCTCCCCGTATTTACTAAGGCGTATTTCCTGCATTCCAAACAAAGCCTTAGAAAATGAAAGTTATAGGAAAAAGTTATAGGACAACTTGGTGGTACACCAAGTAGTACTGCACAAACAACATATCCCTAGATCATATCGTTGTATTTCCCCCATGAGCAATAGGAAGTAGCGTTATTTTGAATATTTTCCCCTACTCATTCACTTTTGTGGAATGAAATCTGTGCAGATCGTCGGCTTGTGTCAATCTCTTAACGATGTTCTAGACAGCATGGCAAAGAAGGGCCTCCCTATTCCCATCTAATTGTTTTGTGGCTCCCCCTCTTAACATTTCATGTTTCTTCAAGTTGTGTTGTCTATATTCTGTCTGCAGTCCAAACAAGCTTTTACATATTTTTGTTCTGCAATCTCGATACAGCTTCTTGTAATGTCCAAGTGATTAGAAAACAGGTTTGGTTTTTGGTGCTCCTTTTTAATTTTTTTGAAAGGATTATTGTTACAAGTAGCTTGTTATCCTAAAAATTGTGCACATCATTTTCTGAACATAGTCGAATCTTTTAACGGCATGTTTGTCAATTGGAATTTCGATTTAAATCCGGATTTGGTTAAATTTCTATGTTTGAAAAATTTAAAAAATTTGTATTTTGATTAGAGGCAAATTCTTCTTATTTTTGTTACTATGTACTTCCTCCGTTCTAATTTAGATTGCTTGTTTATGATGATTGATTGAAGTCATTTTCTTATCATTTTATATAAAAAATAGTGTAGAATTAAAAAACAAAAATTACATATTTAAAGATTACATCAAAAGATTTACGTCAGTCATTTGCATGTAATGATCATTGATTTGATAAAAATTCTCCTTTCAATTAATTTAATGAAATACTTCGTACAACATATATTATGTGCTCGAACATTTTGGTTTTTAGTAAAGTTGGAAGAATTTTGATCATGAATGAAGTGAAATTCATACGGAGTATTATGTAATGATATAAAAATGATTTTTATTATATTTATGATGCAAACAACTTATAAAATTATTTCATAGTATTACGAAGTCTATGTACAGTAATAAACTTGAATTTAATTAATAATTAAAGTTTAGAGATAAAAAAGACGAAATAATCATTTTAGTGCTCACATAATTGATTTTTGTTTAAAACAGGGGACATAGAAATAATCAAACAACCAAATTTGAATCAAAACCATATACTTTGGATTAGGGGTTCAGATCCTATGTCGCCCCTCCCCATTCCAACTCTCTGTCTCCCATTCCTCCTTCACTCAATTTTGCTACATATCCACCGCACTCTAATTTAACACACACTCATCCACCTATATGCATATGTCCCTCTATCCCACCACCCATCAAAGGAGGGGAGGGGGTAAGATGAGTGTGTGTTAAATTAGAGTGTGAGTAAATTATGTGGCAAAATGTGAGTGGAGGAGAGACAAAAGATCTTTGTTCTTGATTTAGAATAAACCCACAGTTATCAGTGGTTATTAGAAAATGAAGTAAATGATACTATTCATACTAATGTTTTTCCTTTTTTGTCATTTTAAAATGTACTAATTGTGAAGATACTATTTTTTTCATCTCATTCTTTTATAGACATGAAGTAATGATATAAATGGCCAAAAAATGAAAAAATGTGACCGACATTGATTATAAAAAGTAAAGAAAATAGAAGAATGAACTTCTACAATTAAAAATTTACCAAATATAATTTGAAACAAAATTGGTGTGATGGAAAAATGAAACAAAAAAGGGATAAAAAGGTGCAATGGAGGGAGTAAGATATTGCATAGTTTTGGTTCATAAAATGAGAAAAATAATATCAATCACATAATTGTGAAAAAATAAAAAAATAATTTTTTTAATGCAAAAACTAACGGAACCAATTAACCAAACGTTAAGTTGGTAAATACTCCGTATTTCCGTATCGTAAAATAGAAGTCCTAGCTGGTTCCCGCCGAATATGTGGCGCGAGTTTCTTCTTTTCAATTCAGCAGGTAGATTCATATAGCCCGCACTCTCTGAGCTTCACTGTCTCCTCTAAATTTTCGCCAAGCGCTGACCTGAGAGCTGCAGGGATTAATCAATTTCATGTTTTTCCAGTCAGATCTGTGAGATTCCATCCCCGATTTCTTATACAGGTGTTTATTACACGCATTTCTTTAAATTATTCGGTTCAATTGATTCATTTAGACTCTTATCGCGATTTGCAATTAGTGTTCTTTTTATGCCAATTCGTTTGATTCTGAAACAGATCCCGGTTTCTCTATTCCCTTTGCTTCAAGTTAACCTTCCAGATCTATAGATCTGAACTAAAAATCCGGTTTTTAACAAGAAATTTGAAATAAATAGAATACGTGTTTGTAGATCCAGTCTTATTTTGGTTTTCTGCATCATCGCTTTGTACCTATTTGATAAATTTCTTTTTTTATAATGTGAGAATGAATGCAGAGCGATTTCCTTTAGAACATCATAAGCATATGACCATCAATGAAATTTATATAACTTGAAATGCAGAGATGACCAAACTTGTGACTACAGTGATATACCATATAAAATTAAAATAGCAAGTTAAGGGTCGATTCATCACAATCTTCAGTTCACGTTTGTCAGACTTTGCAGCATTTCGAGTTTAACTTGACTACCAAGATCTTGGTCATTCTATTTCCCTGCATATGTTGTGGCTAGGTCTGTCAGCTTTGGTGATTTGTGTCTTTCAAGCATTTCTGTGTTCAGATAAACTTTAACTATGAAATATTTCTTTCCAATTTTGTTCTTTGCTGGAGTACTATTTTTTTTGGTACAACGCAAAGTAAGCCTAATATTTACAATTTACATTCATCTTCTGATCTCAGAAGTTTACATAAACCTGTAGTAACATTTCAATTGTCATTTCATGTGCTAGATCTTTTCTGATATAGAAGTGTGGGCAACTTTTCAAGAGTTAGAGTGGTTGGACAATGGAACTCAGAAAGAGCTCTAACTCGCACTTTATCCAAACTATAAAAAAGGGGTTTGTTGTAAAGACGTGCAATGTTAATTCCCGTAGAAAACCAGTTCTCATTTTCAGAAATATGGAGGAGATTCATGCAGCTAAAGACCATTCCACTCTCAGTTCCCCAGAAAAGTTTGTCAAGAGTGATGACCAATCTTCTTTGCCGCCGGTTGCTGACAGAACATTAAGAGAGACTGACAGTGTAAATAATAATGAAATTATTTCCTATAGTAGTGATGGTGAAAGTGATTCAGATGACTGCATTCTTGTGGATATGACACTGAAGCAAGTAAAGGAGAGGTGCAGATCCAGAAAAAGAAAACTTCTTAGTCTGTTTTATACTGATCCTGCTCGGGAAGTATTTAAATGTGAGGAAGTGGAAGATGAAGATCTCAATATCCCTCTCAGTGCTTTCAAAACAAAGCTATCAAATAAGTCATCCAAAGCTAAAAGGGGATGCCCGGATTTGAAAACATCTTGTTCTGAAACTTCTATTTCAGTCAAGTCAGAACATATGCTGGATTCTGATTTCAACATGGAACTCAACGGGGAATCAGCTTCTACACTTGCAAATGTCAAAGAAGAAGTTGTTGAAGAAGAGTTTTCTATTTGCCAAAATACAAATTCAGTTCCAAGTTTTCCCATAGAAACACCCATATTATTAGATGAGGCGCACGATCTTCAGTTTTCTGTGAACCAGCACGTAGATTCTTTTAATGATTGCCCTTCCATTAAATGTGATGAGGAATGGAGGATATCCAGTGAAGTTTCAGAAAACATAGAAGTTCAGGAAAGCATGCCTATCGTGTTTGCAGAGGAGCAAAAATGTTGTACTCTAAATGATGTGTCCACAAAAGATAACTTGCAATGTGTTGAGGTAGATAATTCTACAGATGATCACCAAGCAGATGATATTCAGATGCCTGAAGATGAAGTTCAGGAAGAAATTTGTTCAAGTCAAGAAACTGGGTTTGCATCTGGGGATTTCGAGATTAACTCAAGCTACGATGATGATTTAACATCTGCAGCAGACAGTACTGCATCTTCTTTGACACTAATTCCAGATTGTTCCTTTGTTGAAACTGGAAATACTTGTTTGAATGCCCTTTCAGTACAAGGTGAGTCATTAACACCGGAAGAAAATAGCCCCCTGGATATTATTGAAGAATTAAAAGGTCCAACTATTGAAACACAACCTTTACACCAAAACTCTTCTCTGCCGCAACAGCCTCCCCAGAGGTTCCCCTCTTTCCGTACGGTTAGAACTGCCTTTATGCTTCTTATTCTTTGCATTATGTGTTTTTGAAGTTTGCTGGAAACTTTATTTCTTTTTTTTCCAGGCTATTTCCCCATCTTCCCAAGAAAGACTTTGTTTGGAAATGAAATCTGTGGATTTGTTTGATGAACTAGAGAATGACAGTAAGTCATGTGCACTTTTACAATTGATATTGATCACTCTATCCAAGCATCGATTCCATTTGGAATCTATTTTACCGAAATATTGAAGCATTCCACTATCTTGCACTTCCCTTTTTTACATTCAAATTGACTCATTACTTCATACCCAGCACCATCTGAGATTAACTCAATTTTAATCTACTGCTAGAGCAAAAAATAGACTAAGGCCTTCAGGCCTTGTTTGTTGAAAAATTTTGGAGGGAGGGCACTGGAGGGGAGGGAAGGATTGATTTTGATTTACTAACTTATTAGCATTTGTTAGCCTTAAACTAGAAGATATTTACTACAAAGTATATCGTTAGTTGAGTCATGCATTTTTCTATACTAGTAATTTTGTCTTCTCATTCTTTCCAAGCATCTAAATTTTGATGCATATAAAATTCACCCCTTCTCTTTCCTCCCTCCCAGATCTCCCCTCCCTATCAAGCTGAACTAACTGTTATTTCCTCGGACTGTTGTTGCAGTAAAACCTCTAATTGGGCAAGAAGACGTGTCCGGATGCACCACATATGAAAATTCCAAATTATCTTCTCCAGGTTGCCAACAGAAAGTTATTATAAGGCGCGAACAAATCACAAGGAAATTGAAGAGGATCTGCCGAAAGGGTTTCCCACACAAAGCCAATTCGGATGGCCCACTTTTTTCTCGATCTCTACCTCAACTTAGCACTGGTTCCACCTCCATTGACAGCTGTTCCAATAGTGCCGTAGCATTTTCACAACGACAGATGCATGATTTTGAGTTTCTTGCCATGAAGCTCTTGGATGAGTTAAAGTCGATGCAAGGCGTGGTTGAAGAAAACTTGTTGTTTAAAGCTTATCGCAGTAGTTGTTGTAAAAACGACGTGGATAAGGTATAGTTATGGACTTGTTGTCATTTTTAGCTTTTTATTTGAAGCTGCTCCTCAGCCATGCCCTATATAAGCTTGATGAATAAATCTCTTTAATTCTGTAGGTGAAAACTAGAATAAATAACACTAGGAAAGTTGAGGAGACAGCAAGAAAGTGGATGTCCATGATGGCAAGGGACTGCACCCGCTTCTGTAAACTCATGGTTTGTACTGTTCCTCCCTACACAAGAGTGCACATTGGGTTCCATTTTCGCTAAATACATTGTCATAAATACCGGAGTAACTGTTTTTTGTTAACGACATTTGTATGAATGAATTGCCTTTTTTTTGGGTAACTGAATTCCAATATGAGAATGTGATCTTATATAAATGCTACAGGGGATGCAGAAATCGAGTCAAGATCATTCCCCTTCTCCTGAGAGCACAGCCCAAAGGGATAGGAAAATTACTTTCGCTGATGAAGCCGGTGGGATGCTTTGTACTGTGAACTATTTTGCTTATGACGACATTGCAAGCTCTCCGCAATGTTTGCCTTGTGAAGATGAAAAACAAGTTTTTGGGCAATGCGAAGAGCTGGAGAAGCTGGATTCTGACCTTTGAAAGTTTTTCACTTCTATCTGATCTGTGGGCAATGCAAAAAGAGCTGGAGAAGTTGAGCAGATAGTTTGCATTCGGCTTGGTTAACATAATTGGGTCTTGTAGATTTGAGGAATACAAATGTTCAATTTTAATATCATAGTGATTTTGTTCCAAAGCGTTTTTTTCCTTCTTCTTGTTAGATTTTTCAAAACTGCTGCAATAATGAGGAAAAGTTAATGTTGTACTTCTAATACTCCGTATCCCCCTTCCGTGTACATTCAGTACATTTTTAAGAGTTCACATATTGTCGACATAATCCATTATTAAATTTCATTATCAACCAAGATAATGTACTCAGTATTTTTTTGAGTAGATTCCCAAAATGGTATTCAATAATTATATCTTTCTTTAAATTAGTTACTTGCTATTTGAAAATAATGTTCAATTTAGTTTCCGACTAACAGTCGTCAAAACAACGTCAAAAAGTTATACTCCCTCCGTCCCTAAATAAAGTTCCATTTTTGACTTTTTGAGGATTTAAGGGAGGGATATTTTGGTGTTGACTTTCCAAAAATACCCTTGATGTGATGTGTTAAAGTAAGATGTGATAGGTAGATTATTAGGAAAAAGGTATGATGTGATAGGTAATGTATGAAAAAGTAATGGGTAAAAGGGGTTTTTTAAGGGAAAAGAGAAGTTTATTTAGGGACAAAGAAAAAACGAAAGAGGAACTTTATTTAGGGACGGAGAGAGTACTAATTTTCCAAATTTATCATATATATAATTGGATAATTTTTCAAATTAGTCTATTTTCGATGAAAAAACTCATTTAATATGAAAATTCGAAGTATGATTTTTTTTCCTTTTAGTTGATTCACGATGTTAGAACAAAGTCAGGAGACCATTTTTTATAAGATTTTATTTTGAAAGTTGACTGATTTGGAAAAAAAATCGATAAGAAATGATCATTTTGGAAAAAAAGTATAAGTTTTTATGTCGTTTTGACTCATTATTTTCATAAACTATGCTCCAAAAATCATTGATATTTTATTAATCTAAAATGTCCAGAGAAAACATTAATATTTTAATTTAAAAAATATTTTAAAATAAATTGATTTCAAAAAATATGAATTTTTTATTTGTTATATGAAAATTTTAATCAAATTTGAGAGGGAGAGAGTAGAATGCTTACATCAGTTACATGTACTCTATGTTTCTTTACGTGGGGGGGTTTCTATATGAGAAAAAGACTAAAATATGAATAAAACATTGGAATTATACCAAAATATGAGTTGCATGTATTTATTTGTAAAATAGAAATTAAAATATATTTATATTACAAATCATGACAATGTATTTTACAATAGGAACTCCTATTCAAAGAATAAAAAATGGAATACTTATTTTAATATTTTCTCTACATTTTACTCTAATTTAGAGCGATTTTTTTTTGTTTTTTTAATGGTGTTAAAGTACTTTAACCACCAAAGCATTGAGAGTTGTATTCACATCAACAAATTTTTGTAAAACTACACCAACCAATTACAAACGAAAGGAATGATACAAATTTAATGAGTGAACTTTTAAGCTCTCGTTTTTCATTAATTATTACAGACGTAGTAGTACTCCGTTTTTTATGCAGGATAGTTACATTCATCATAACCTGGAAAAAGGCCACAAAAAAACAACAAAACTAATTAGCACAAGCAAAAAAACAAAAAAAAACAACGTTTTTTTCTTACTAAAAATCTCATGCATGATTAGGATGAGACAAATATAATCAAGAAAAATTTACCTAAATAGAACTAAAATATAATGACTTTCCCAATATAAGATTATATGTTTTTATTTCCCAATGTAGGACTTTTGGTCATTAACAAGTAGTCATTATTCAAGTAAATGTCCATAATTACTGGACATTATTCTTCCCACTAGGTGATTATTAAATTCTATTTAGGGAATAAAAAAGTTTAAGTCCTACATTGAGAAAGTTATTATGTTTTAGTCCTATTTAGTGCAAATTTTACTATAATCAATCGTTGCTTGTCTCTTAAAGGCACCCCATCTATCTTATTATGAGGGATTGCAAAAGATCGTCAGAATTGTTGAAAAAAGAAGCCTTTACAAAATCTTCTCTATTTTCAAAAAATTATTTGTAAAGTCTTTGTGGTTATTATTTAAATAGAACGAGAAAGAAAAGTGTAAAATCAATTTAGAAAGAGAAAAAAGAGTAGTGGGTGGGTACATTACTTGGATTGTTGGAGGTGAGAGTTGCAGTACGAGAGAAATCACAGTTCCAAGAGTTCCTGCCGGAGTTTTGGTAGACGAGATTCATGGCGTAGGCGGCGTGGGAGGCGATGGTGTTTGGTTGGAAACAGGCTCCGCCCGGCTGGATCGGGCCGCAATCGATGTATGTCTGCGCACAAGCGTAGTCTATGTTGGCTTGCAACCCCACGCTTGGCACCCCTTCTTTTGGCACACACCACCACAGCAAAGACGGCCTACTTGCATTTCTATTATTATTATCCTTAGAAGATGACGACGGTTGAGGAGGAGGAGGAGTTGCACTACATGGCGGCGGCGGCGGCGCCGTTTTTGACATTGCCGGGCTCTACAAACAAACATAAACAAATCAGTATGTCACGTGATTAGTCTTAATGAGTAATTGTAGAAGAATTCTAGAGCTATTACACTATGCCAAATGACATATATATATATATATATATATATATATATATATATATATATATATATA